AAAAAGAAAATGCTTCTGAAATGTGTTTTTTGTTTAGGGTGTAACGCAACTTTACTGAAATAGGGGTCTGTTTAGTGCTCAAAATGTCTCAGTTTTTATTCTGATTTGAACCAGAAGTGAGTATGTCACTGACCGTTAAGACTTGATAAAAAATTACCTTCACATTGAATTGGTAGTGATTAGTTCCTGTTTGAATGATGATAATGCGTATTTTAAGCTCAGCTGCTCCTCTCCCTTACAGTAAGAAACAGGGAACAGGCCCATTTATACAGTACTCAATAGCAAAAGAGATCATTCTTCATTTAATTAACAGACACTAAAAACAAGATTAGACATAAAATAATCCACTTACATGAAGTCAGTGGGGGAAAAAAGTGTTTCTAGATTACAGAGAAAATGTGACTCCAACAAACATGCAAGAACTGGTAGACCACCAAAACAGACCCCATCAGATAAACAGCATTCTTGAGAGAGAGGAGGAAATTAAGCTCCTTCACATCTGAAAAAATCCACAGGTGTTTCTGTCTATCTTTCCACTGTGAGAAGACAACTCAACACTGTGAGTCTGAAAGGATGTGTAGCTGACAAAAAGCTCTTACTGAGAAGAAGAAATAGACAAACCAAACAAAGAATTATTTTTAGAATAGCAAAACGTTAGCAAAAGTAAAGTGTGAGCAGAATAAATACCAAAACATTTTATAGATTTTATTTGTTGATGGTTCTGTGTAATTCTCTGTTAAATATGTGTTTTCTGCTTTTTTCTCTAAAGCTGAAAAGTAAACAAATATTTAATGGCTGTCTTGACTGGAAATTTAATAAATGAACAGTAGTCTCTGACTTTTTGTCACAATCCTGTTTCACTACAGTTTTGATTGTGACTCAGCCAATCAGTTATGTCTATTACCAAGCAACCATCAATACACATAAATCAACATCAAAATGATGCTAGAAATGTAAGTTAGTTGGCTGGACAGTTACCTTTACCATTGTAAATGTAAAAAAGGTCAAAGCAAAACTAAAGTGCAAATTAAAAGTTCAGAATATTGTGACAGCGCCCTCTGCTGTTTATCAGTGTCACCACTCCCCAGTTTCATTTTCCATTTCCCAGACTCTTTAACCAGCATGCGAGCCACACTAACGTTAATCCTCCTAGTAAAGCCACAAGTTCAATTCAGCTTCCTCATTATTCACCACCATCACTGAAATATTTATTTAATTTATTTTATTGAATTTTTTAATCAATGTTAACACATGAGGGCAATAAGAGAAGATGGTGGACATCATATATGTAGTGTCTGAGATTTTTAAACTGAAGAAATAGGGAAAAAAACATTGAGTGAAAGCTGAGTTTTGCAGAAATAATAGAAGCGGACAGTTAAAGCAGAAGTTAGAACGCCACTTGTGTTCTGGTATTTACTGTAAAGTTAGGAGAGTATTTAGGGTATTTTGTCTAGTAAAGATGCTTCTATAATACTATTTTCTTATCTGGAGTTGCAAGATTATAATCTTAGAAACTGTTATTCTGTAATAGTTACTGTCCTAAATTCAGACCTAGCTGAAGTTGTCATGGTGACTAAAAAGATTTCAGAGTTAGGATGTTTCTGTAATATGGCCCCTGGAACCATCCATTTTAGGGCTTCCGTACATCTGTGTCATGATGTGCCTTTGTTCTGAATGTATCTGTTCATTCTGAATGTTTGTGCTATTTTGGTGACCATAACATAAATGCAGCAGTAATCAGAACTCTTCTTTTATTAAATGGACCAGTTTTCATTCTATTTCTGTAGCTTTCCTTTATTCTCCAAACGTCTGTATTCTACAAGAGAATGTCCTTGACCTTTTCTTTCTCTCTCTCCTATTTCTATTCTTTCTTATTTGAGAGTTGTGGATGAGTCACTGTGATCTGATTTGGTCTGAATTCCTTTGCCGGAGAGCCAGAGAGCGGCTTTGAAGAGTAACAGTCAGAAAAGCACCCATTTTCACACCACTGTCTTGCTCTACAGCTGTAGTGATCTGAAGATCAGTGCTCAGAAGCTGGATCTGTACTAGAGCTGCACAGTATGGACAAGATACTAGTATCATGATTATATTGCCTCACATTGCGACTGCATACATGGCTTACAAAAGGTCATTAACACATTTGTCAATCCATAATCTCAAGTGGTCAAGGTGGCGCCATTATGTGTGGCCTGCCATCTGCCCTTGACAGCTTTGTGTTTGTCTCATCTTTGTTATTTGTTACGAAAAATGCCGACTTTCTACTGGTTTATGATCGCCAAACACTCCTTAATATTTGACTTGATACCAAAAAACTGGTAAATCTTAGCCTGGGTCAACAGAAGACTTTTTTTCCTCCCCTTCTATCGGAAATAACTGCTCACTTCTGCCACGCTCCAGTTCTGCTCCCCCGGAGGAGACGTCATAGACGCCGGGGTAAGCGCAGCGATTTGTTGGTGAGAATGAAATTCTGTTTGGCAGTGTTTCCTGGGACTAATCCCCATGGTATTTTGGCTAAAAGTGCCTCGGGTTGTCGTTGCTTTGTTTTCTGGCGCTCTCTGGAGCCTCTGTACACCTGGCTGGTACCTGTTGAGGAGGAGATCCAGATTCCCTGCTGTCATTCACCTCGTCTCCACAGAAGAGGGTTAATCCCCAAAGCATCTCTTCATTGGCTCGCTGTATGTTTTAGAATTGATTTTAAGGTTCTATTGTTTGCCTATAATTCATTAAGTGGGCTAGCACCAACCTATCTTTCTGACCTATTACAACCATACGTTCCATCAAGGTCACTTAGGTCTGCTGACCAGTTCTTTTTGACTGTCCCTAAATCAGAGGTGAAGCACAGGAGAGATTGTGCTTTTTCAGTTATAGCCCCCAAACTCTGGAATGAGTTGTCTTTGCATGCTAGGCTGGCCCCTCCACTTTCTTTTTTTTTAAATCCTTTCTCAAAACACATTTTTATTCTTTGGCTTTTGATTTAGTGTGAGAGCCGCTTAACTTTTGTGTTGTTGTTACAAGTATTTTTTGTTATTTAACCTGGCTTCTGTGTTTTATTGCTGTTACTGTGTGTATATTGTTTTGTTATGTTGATTGTACAGCACTTTGGTCAACAGCTGTTGCTCTGAGCGTGTTCTACAGTTTCTCATTAGGTTGAATGAATAACTCACTCTAAATGTAGGTATTGTGATATAAACTGAGTGTGTTCTACAGTTTCTCATTAGGTTGAATGAATATCTCACTCTAAATGTAGGTACTGTGATATAAACTGAGTGTGTTCTACAGTTTCTCATTAGGTTGAATGAATATCTGACTCTAAATGTAGGTACTGTGATATAAACTGAGTGTGTTCTACAGTTTCTCATTAGGTTTTCTGACTAAATTGGACATTGACATAATGTGACGTGGTTAAAGATTATATTGAATTCTTCTGGCCAAAAAATTTTTTGCTGATTAGCTTCATTTATCAAAACACTAACAGAAACTCATCCGAAACTGTGATTGGTTGGGATGCTCAGAGTTCGGGTTAGAGGTTTCATTTGCATTTTCCAGCCAGTTGCAGAGGCCAACAATGATTAAAAGTATATATTTTTATGTACAGGTATTTTAAATTCTTCCATGTTTATATATTTACTATTTATTAACTATTCCCTTTGCCCTGTGATGGACTGGCAACCTGTCCATGGTGTATCCTGCCTTCTGCCCAATGACAACTGGGATTTGGGCTGCTGATTCTGAAGACCACTGGCCAGAATTCCAGCTTTGAACTCCCCAACCTGTAACAAAGCCCCTGTAAAATTAAATGATGGCCATACCACTGCTTTGAATAGTGATAATAGATAAAAAATCTCTCTGACTTCTGCACAATCCGTTTCATTGACATGGATTAAGGCTAGTCTTGGACTAAAATGCTGTGCTAGTGATGATTCACCATTAAAAATCTTATTAAGTCTAGACTTTGGCTTAGTTTGAGAAACTGGCCCATAGTACTCAAAGACAATGCATGAACGCAAATTCACTGGCAGATGGAAGTCCAAGGAAAATAAAGCCTAATATGTTTTAGCATCAGTTTTCTAGACCTAGATTAAGCTTAGGTTTAGACTAAAAGTAATTTCTGATGGTGATTCACCATTGCCCCCACTACAGTTTAGTCTAAGGCGAGGTTTAATCCTTGTTTGGGAAACCGGCCCTTAGTGGGTTTGTTTAATTTGTGCTGTTTTCATTCTGTAAGCTGTTTTATTTGTTGCACAGAGGCCTGATGTTTGTTGATTATTTTCCTGTTGTTGTTTGTAAACAGGTGGGAGGACTGGTTCCTTCAGTAGTTTTTGTAAACATGTGATTAGGACGTCTCTCTCCCTCTCCCTCTCTCTCTCTCTCTTTCTCTCTCCATCACACAGCACAGTCTCTTCGACAACCTGCTCGGCTTTTCTCTCTCTCCCTCTCTTCTTTTCTGCACCTCTCTCTTGCTCTATTTCTCTGTCATGCTCCTCTCTCTTATCTTACTCACTTACTCTCTTACTCTCTCACTCATCTCTCTGCCCTCCTTCTTTCACATTCTCTCTCTCCCTGTCCCCTTTCTTTCTCGTTCTCTCTCCCTCTTCATTATTTCTTGCTTTTCTCTCGTTCTCTCTCTCTCCTTCTTTTCTCTCTCTCCCTGTTCTCCCTCCATCCTTCTCTCTGTTTCACCCCTTTCCCCCCTTCTTCTTCTCTCTCCCCTCTCCCTCTCTTCTCTCTCTCTCTCTCTGCTTACTTTTTCTTTTCTGCCTTGGTAGTATTTCTTCTCTCTGTGCTTTAGCAGATGTTATTTTTTAAGATCACTCCTGTTGCATTGTGGGTATCAGAAGTATGAGACTGATATTGGAGTGATGTTAATGATGAATATTAAACATGAAACACAGTCAGTGTTTACTTAGCACAATCCAGACACTGCTCTTTACAAGCCTAACCTTTTACTTATTCTCTCTCTATCTCTCTCTCTCTCTCTCTCTCTCTCTCTCTCTCTCTAGCTGTAGACAGTGCTGTAGCTGAACTGCAGAAGGTTGAGGAGGCGTATGACACTGTTCAAATGGAGATCAGGTATGTCTGTTACACTGATATACATAGTTATGTGCACAGATGCTCGAACACTGTTGTAGGTGCAACTGTGTGATGAGCACTGAAATCACTGCTCTGGTATTCGTCAATTTTCATCATGGAAAATCCGGAAGAAAAAGTTCAGACCAACAATTCAGTGAAATACCTTTCAGGGCACTGAAGTACGGTTTATTATATAGTGCCTGCTATGACGAAACAGAAGAACATAGGCACATTGACAAGGATGTTTTGTTAAGGGCATGAAGTCAGAAATGCAGCTATAAATTAGCAACTCTAAACTACTCTAGGTGATGTTAGCTAGAACCAAAAACAATGAAAAGACATTTCTGTGTTTTCAGTGTTACTTCAACAAACTAACATGTTGGCTAATCATCTAATGATTGGGAGAAAAAAAATGTCATGTAGAAGCCTGAGTCATTACAATCTACCACTGCACTGGTTAGCTGTAGTGTTAGCAGTAGTGCATGAGCACAACTGAAGGTGTTACTCAAACACAGAAACCAAAAGATATCTTTTGGATATTTTTGATAATACAATATATGTATATATTTTTACCATGCTAGCACATGGTAAAACAAAAATCTACTTAAATTTATTGGCCTGTGTAGCACTTTTTTATTGTAACCTAAACAGAGATTTTGACATTTTTGGGGTTAAAATGTTACATTTTATTAACCCAACACAATCGGTCTCAGTACTAGGAGCACATGAAATAGTGACCTAAACGTTTGCTCTAATTTAGCATCGAATAGTAACTTATCAAATTAATAATCATTGTTATGTAAACTTAATAGGTAAAGTTAATCATTTAATGTTAAAACAACAACATTCCAAGTGCAAATTCCATATTTCATATCAACTCTAGACATTTTTTCTGCTTACTTGTAAATGAAATAATGACGGAATAACACACACCTGATGATGCTGCTGCTGCTGCATAAACAAATTAATCAAATTAATCATTTGCTCCACCTGTTTTTCCCGTTTTTTGTACTATAATACTTTATACTAACAATGTTTACTATCCGGTGTTGACCAGAGGAGGATGGGTTCCCCTTCTGAGTCTTGGTTCCTCTCAAGGCTTTTCCTGTTTCTTAGGGAGTTTTTCCTTGCCACTGTCAAGCCCTGCTCATGGGGGCTCGGATCTGGCTTTCTTTCTGTAATGCTGTTTTGTAAATCTGCTTTGTGACAACACCTGTTGTAAAAAGCGCTATATAAATAAACTTTGCTTGCTTGCTTGCTTACACCTGGCCATGGAACAGCTAAACCAACTATCCAGTTACTTTTCAGCCTCAAAAAAAGGGAATGTATATGAAAGTGGTTGTTATTCTGGCATCGTTCACCCAGTGTAAATGTAAATACCCTCAAACTAAAGCTGAAACTCATATTCATTATCAAATTATTTAATTTAAACTCCAAAATACTGTGGTAGATAGCTAAAATAACAATTCGACAGCATGACTTGTTTATTTACATACCTGTATATCCTGTATTGTTTACCCAACTGAGATGTAGTACTAGGAACCTTAAACTGAGTTGGATGAAATCTAGTCAAGTTGTATTAAATGTATACCAATTAAGCTGTGTGATTAGTTGCCTTATAAATGAAAGTTCAGCTGACATCTCATATTTTACAGTGCACCTGTTGTGTATGTTTGTGTATGCGACAAAAAAAATGCTGCATGCTTTTATGTTAATATCAAGCGAAAAAATCTTCCCAGCAGTTAACCAAACATCCATTCATTAATTCTTATGCATACTTGAATTTCAAAATTAGCCAGAATGCACATCCCTAGAAATATGGCCATTACCTTTCTTCCTTCTCTCTTTCTCTCTCTCTCTCTCTCTCTCTCTCTCTCTCTCTCTCTCTCAGTGCTTTCACCTTTTGCATTCTGACTTGTCTACATGGCATTCCACACAACCAGGCCTTAAAATAGCTACACACACACACACATACACACACTGTTAAGAGGGCGTACAGTAATGAGTTAGCGCAGTCAGACACCCAGGGTGCATTTTAATGAACAAACGTGGATGCTGCTGTTAGCCTGCCTGCTGTGCAGTAGTGGCTGGGTTTTCTCCTGCAGGGGTTCAGGGCTTTTCTCCTGCAGCCTACACATATACACACCAAACAAACATGAGAAGACAGCAACCGTGAGACACTGTTAAACGCTATGGGGAAATGCTGATGGACTCAGCTTAGCGTAGATTACTCAAAATGCACACACAAACGTATACACACTCGCAGAGCATCTCTGTCTGTGGGCTGCATTTGGCCTACTGTGGGAACCTGAATGTACCTGAATCTAACACTCCTTATTCTTTACTAGAATACCTACTAGCTGCTGCACCTACAGCAGCTATGCTTCCACAACAGATCATACAATAATAACAGACAAACAAAAAGACAATGGGGCTAACATAACTTCAGAAATCTGTAGCAGAAATTACACTCACCAAGCATTTTATTAGGAACACTTGTACACCTACTCATTCATGCAATTATCTAATCAGCCAATCGTGTGGCAGCGATGCAGTGCATAAAATCATGGAGATGTGGGCCAGCAGCTTCAGGTAATGTTCATGTCAACCATCATAATTGGGAAAAAAATGACTGTGGCCTGATTGTTGGTGCCAGAAGGACTGGTTTAAGCATGCCAGTTGGCCAGATTGGTTCGAGCTGACAGAAAGCTACAGTAACTCAGATGATCAATCTATACAATTCTGGTGATCAGAAAAAAAGCGTCTCAGAATGCACAACACGTCCAACCTTTACTTCTGTCAGCCAAGAACTGAAAGCTGAGGCTGCACTGGGACAGGCTTACTAAAACTGGACAGTTGAAGACTGGAAAAGCGTAGCCTGGTCTGAGGAATCCCTTCTGCTGAGGTACACAGATTGCTTGAATGCCGCAGCCTATTTGAGTATTGTTGCTGACTATGTTCACCCCTTCATGGCCACAGTTTACCTATCTAATTTATCTAATGCCGACTTCTAGCATAATAATGCACCATGTCATCTCAAACTGGTTTCATGAACATGACAGTGTTCTTCAGTGACCTTTCCAGCCACCAGATTTGAATCCAATAGAGCACCTTTGGAATGTGGTAGAAAAGGAGATGTGCAGCATGAAAGTGCACCTGATAAAGGATCCTCACCTGTAGGAATTGCTTGATGCAATTATCTCAACATAGCTAGAGTCTCAAAGGAATGTTTCCAATATGTTGTGAAATCGATGTAATAAGGAGATGAGTTTTGAGAGTAAAGGGAGCCCCTACCCAGTATTAATATATTGATCCTAATTGATTGCTCAGTGAGTGTATTCTAGCAAAAATGAATGGTCTTACGAAGAAAACTCATGCAGAGCATAGGCATTTCGGTTAAAAGTGGTCAGATACATGTCTTTATAATGATATGATTACACAGTGCTCAGGTAACCTGTTTGAGCCACAGCGAAATTGTCGCCATCATAAAAAAAACAGCAGTTATCACTAACACAGCTCGTACAGCCACTACGTGCTTTGCCCCACACCTGCGTATACAGTATGCACTACAGTATATGTATGCTACTCATATAGATTGTGTGTATGAGGGTCACCAATATTATCCACAAAAGGACGGTGTGACCCTTTTTATTCCAGCTAAGCAGGAGCACACCTCAAATAACTAATCAGTAAATTGACCAACGCATTAAACATTTGGAATGTGTACTAGGAGAGTATGTGTGTATCATTAGGGACACCACAGGGCCTTCTAGGTCTTCAGAGAAGGTCCAGCAATTTTTGTGAAATTAAAAACATATATCTGTAATTTTTAATATGAACATATTTATTTTATTTAAGCTCTGTATGCATTGTAGTAAAAGGGTTTAGACTGGAAACAGAAGGGTTAAGGCAGATACAGCCAAGTGAGCTCTCCTATTGGTTAGGACTTCAGGAACTGGACTGAAGACCTTACATGTTTGATTAGCTACCAACATAATTAGGAAGTGACAAAGAATTAAACCAATGTCTATATCCATGTTTAATCTTACATACCGCAATCCCATAGGGACACTAGCAGAGAAAAGCATCATCAGAGAAGAGAGATTCTCACTCAGTGATGCTTAGTGTATATGTCATGATATGGTCACGAATAAATTAAAATCTACTCAGAGAATAAACCACCTATGGTGCTAAACACACAGCGAGCCTTATCAAGATCCAAATTATATTGGCTATTTTTCAAGATGTTTAAAATGATCACTTTATCAGATACAGAATACAGAATGCTTTATAAAACTCATGCACAGTTTCCAGTATAGAACGTATGAAATGTAGAATGTGTAGAAATGTAAAATGTCATTAATTTGCCTGACTTTGTGTCATTCTTGAATGCTTTTTTGAAAAGGGAATAATAATAAGTGCAATATGGATATTTTTGAATACCATTTGTTTAGCGTTGTATTTGTTCCCTGGAAAGAAGAAATGTGTATTTTAATTAATTCAAGATATTATCATGTAGTATGCACTAAATACCACTGACTATTTTTTCACATTTATTATATTACATGCTCGTTACTGCTATTAATGAATATATTTAATGAACATTTTAAAATAATTGTGATTAAAATGGTGCTACTGCATTGCTCATGAATATGCCATTAACAAATCTCCATTTGTGGTGTTAATTTACTTCAGAATTTGTAAATACTACTTTGCCAGCATGATAAATGGAGCAAAAATTATCCAGAATTACTTGGAAAAAAATCTTGTTCCATTATCTTACATTCAAACATAAGAATGTTTTTTCCTTCTTCTTTGAAGTCACCATTTTGGGTATATGATGCTTTAATGCAACAGCATGGTGTGCATCATAGAATAAGTACACTATGTACGATGATATGTCTGTATAAAAGTAGTATGGTTTAGAATACACTATAGTATGTGTATAGTATATACTGTAGCATGTGGATAATATATACCAGTGGTTCTCAAACTGGTCCTCAGAGACCCCCAGACAGCCCATATTTTTTGGTCTATCCCTGTGTGTTATGAGCTGGGTTGGAGCAAAAATGTGGACTGTCTGGGGGTCCCTGAAGACCAGTTTGAAAACCACCGGTATGTACTGTAGAAGTGTTTCCCACAGGATTTTGTGAGAGTAAGGTGGGTGGACCTCGCTCCTCACCTTATATTGTATATATTGTAGTATATGTATATTATATACTACAGTATATTCCACAGTATATGTATAGTATATACTGTAGGACATACTGTAGTATTTACATAGTATATACTGTAGTATTTGTATAGTGTATGCTGTAGAATGTGTGTAGTAAATACTATAGTATGCATATAATATATGAATGCATGTGAGTCTGTGTTGCTTGTTGAGCAGCAGTCTGACTGTATGACAGGCACAGTGTCAGTGTATAGTGTTGATGTATGCTAGCTGAGATGATGAGTGTGTGTTGCTGAGCTGCAGTGATGGTGTATCAGTGAGCTTCAGGCTAGCATACTCTTTATTACCGCACGCTGTCACAGACAACATAGCTCCACTATTACACTCCTTTAAAGGTCATTGTGTGTGTGTGTGTGGGAGTAGTTACCCACTGCACACATATACGTGAGTTTCTGACTATGCGTGTGTTAGTGTGACTGCACACTTATTTAGTGTGAGTGTATTATTGCTCACTTGTGTGTATAGCAAGAAACTGGCCTATGGGTCCTTAAATGTATTAATTCATATGAAGTTACATTCTACAAATTAAAGATTGAGTATTAAATTGTCTAACATTTGAGCATTTGACCTTTAGATTTTTTTTAAACCTTTTTAATACAGGGTCACTGCAGTCCCACAGTAAAAATACATATTTTAAAGTTTTTAGTTTTAAATTTTAGTATATTTTAAAGCATTCCAATGTTATATATTTACAAAGACTATACTATGAGCTATTTAAACTCAAGGCATTAATAGAGATTGCAGTAAGCTAAATGTATATGAAATCATCATTTCCAAAGGTACTTTCTGTTGGGAAGTGTCTGTCCCAAGCCCTAACCCCTAAACATTCAGTGTAGTTTTCAAAAATATCTTTTTGATTTCTTTTAAAGTGAGGTCAAAAAATTTGAATCTTTTATGAGTGATTTTTTTAAATAATAAAGATTCATGTCACTACTGAAACTGTCCATATTTTAGCCACAGCCCTGCATTTTAAAGCAGGAAGTGAGACTGTATCCCTGTCCCTTTTGGCCACATGGTGAGATGTTAGATCTCATTATATCGAGGTAAATGTATCCTAAAGTCTAAAGATCAGTGTGTAACATTAAGAATGGTCACTACCGAAACAAACATATTTGTAAATATTTTCTAAGTAAACTTGTTTATTTTTTAATGGAAAATACTGAGATGATTTTATATGTGTACAGCTGTTCAAAGCTGCATTTGCTAGTCATGTGCTTGTGTGTTTGCATTCTGCTGAAAATTCGCTAAATTTGTCACTACTGAAAAAGTCACTACTAAAACATTTGGTGAAGTTTCAGTAATGTTATTATTCTGTTGGTAGTGAATTTGAATGTTCAGTGATATGTTTAAATAAAATAAACATAATTAAGGGATAGCGTCACTCACGGCAAAATGATTTTAGTCTCAAATCCAATTCACCCACTTAAAAGTCCAAAATGTGTTTTTATGTTTTTGACTTTGGATTTGAAGCAATTCAGTAGAATCATCCATACAATAACTAGTAATAATGAAAGGATGTGTAATGCCACAAAATATTAAATTATTAATTTAATTAATTGTTTAATATGTTCAGTGTGAAAAAGTACTCATTACTACAGCTGACTTGGTAGAGGCTATTTAATAGTGTTATATATATATATATATATATATATATATATATATATATAGTAATAATAATAATGATGAACAAATAGCTAACAGTTGTATTAATTGATTATTAATTGAATATTGTTTGAATATTGTTTGTTATAGGGAGCTGAAGGAGAAGCTGGATATTGATTATGGTCCTGAGCGGGAGTTTGTGTTTCTGCTGAGCCGTTGTGTGCAGATGGCCGTTTCTGAGTGAGTACTGTCCACGCTGCTGCTGCTGAGGTCGTCTGTGCTGACGTCACACTCTATTGTCTGACCTTATGATTGTATGATGCTGCAAAAAAAGCTTGAAACATCTCAGCATCTCAGTGGGTTTCTGTTAGGACTAGGCACACTACTTGAACCCTGCTACATAACATTGACATAACCATGCCAATAACAAGTCATGGCAGATGTCATATGACATGACATGAGTTATCATAACACATTTTGTTCAGTTACATAACAGTGTCATGTTACCATTACCGGCAGTTGTGATGACGTGACATCAAACATTATTATTATCTGTCATTACAGTTACAAGTAATAGTAACATGAAACTGTTATAGTAATGACAAAAATGTCTGAACAACTTGCATCTCCATTTTTTTTTCGTTTTTTGTTTATTAATTTATTTTTATACTATTTAAAAACACCAGCTGCCCTTTACCAGAGACCCTCCCCCAGGGGGAGATTGCAGTCCTTGGTGATAAAACGTAACAGTGTGGGAGCAGGGAGACCAGAGGCTCTGAGTGAGTGATTGGGAGTAAACAGAGAAAATGCCTGAATACCAACAACAAACTGCTGTTTTGTGGACGTGGGTCATAATGTATCAAACTGACTGTTGTGTCATTAATTTTCAACATGTTTTCTATCATGTCCATTTTTAATGAGCTGCGATGTGTCTAATACGAAAAAAACAAAGGTTTTGTGAGATGAGTAACAGCAAGATCGAGTTGTGACGGGACTTATTTACGGCCTTGCACCAGTGTCTCATAAAACTCGTTTTTCCAGAGATGGTATGATCAACACACGATGAAATAATTTGGAAAAGTATGTGTGGAACAACTGGTATAGTGTTTTGAATTCAAAATGTATTGCCGGATGTCGTTTCTCAGACATTAGCCCATCTGGCAAGTCCATTGTTTTATACCAGAATATAACTTGACGTAGGACAAAGCAGAACACTTTCAAGTCAGCTAACTGGCAAGTCATCAAACATCAAAACTGTGCTCTTTTCCCATTAATTTACTTTAATTTCATAATTGTTGGATGGTAAAAAAGTCTTGTTCACATTACATAGTTGTTTGTCGCAGACATTATCAGAGACAGTAACCCAAAAAAAGTATCTCTAACAGCTCTAGATGCTATTAAGGTTAGCTACAGCAGCAGTACAAACACTCCTCAGTATATGCAGAACTAAACGGCTATAGTTTGTTAGTGTGTTATGATGACAAAGATACGTAATGGTTTTTCAAAACCAACCTTTTTAATGTACTAACATTAATGACTCAGGGCTACACTGATGACCTGTTTTGCCATTGTTAAAGAGAACTGTCTTGGAAGAACTTCACTGACATCAAGGTTGGAAATGACTGGCTTACAAATTATGTGTCTGATTTGATAGGCCAAGCCGGGCATTATGCTTTTTCCCAATGCTAAACGGCAGAGGAGTGCCATCTCTGCGTTTACATTGTGTGAACATTTCCTAATGAGTGGATCAATAGAAATGGTTCAAATTACTCAAAAATAAAATCTTGTTACTTTAGCTTACATTAAAATTATGATTTTTTTTTTTTTTTTACTTTTCTCCTGAAAAGTTACTATTATAGAGATACAAAGTTGTGTTCTTACAGTAACAATATGGACTCTTAATGTTGTTGTTATTATTATTATTATTATTATTATTATTATTGTTGTTGTTTTTATTGTTGTTGTCTCCTTTTTATTGAAACTCCGAGACAAAAAACAGCAAATATAAATTTATCTAGAACTCTTTTAGGACATTAAAAAGCAGGAAAACACACCTTCATGCACATATACACACATTCACATTATTTCACATGTACAAACATTTAAACCTCCTAAACTTCTAATACATGTTGTTTTTTCTTTGAACTCACAAACATATGAATCCAAGAGGACCTTAAAGTAAAACTTTAATAAAAACAAGTTTGATAATGCTTTCATTTACAGTCCCTTAAGTTTCTGTATATTAACACAGCAAGTGTGCAGTACATAATTATTTTGTGCAACGTGATGAGAGGTATCAGATATAAATACCAAGTAATAGAAAAAAAAATGTAAGTAATGTTTTTGTGTTTTGTACTTACCAGCTAAAACCTGTTTATTTAATATAAGTCAAAGTAAAAGTGAACTTATACAAGCAGTGCACAGCTGAACGGGATTGCATTTCTCCAACTCCGATGTGCAAAATATACGTAAATATAACATAAAGGCAACTGCACATAGACATACTAGACAGTATAGACAGACATAAAAAACATACAAATAAGGAAAAAAAATGTGTGTGTGTGTGTGTATGTGTATATATATATATATATATATATATATATATATATATATATATATATATATGTATGAATACACACACATATTTATAAGAACTATTGCACGTTGTGTAGAATAAATATTGCACATTGTTCTTGGTGATAGTATTATTGCACAGTGTAACAGGAAATGTAAACTTGACACTGGTGAATAGTGATAAAAGTGGTGAGAACATTGTAAATATTGCACAGACAAAATAGCTGCATTTTTAATATAGAAGACATGAGTTCCATAAAAGTGTTCACATAGTTTGTGTATATGTTTAGGAGTTCAACAGTCCTGATAGGCCAGCATGTTGTGTATTGTTAGAAGGAGTTGAGTAGTTGAGTAGTTTGATGGCCTGAAATTAGTTAACCTGTCTTGGTACTTCTTACCATGTTACCCAAATTAATGACACAGCACTTTAAAGTTTGTACATTACACTGGTTTATACCTAGAACTTGGAGAACCTTTTAGATAACTCAAGGTCCTGACTTTATAAGAGGTGACTGTCAATGGTAAATTCGTACATGTAGTATAATTGTGAATTCGCCTACACCTCTAACTTCTACATTCTTTAGGCTTTTTTTAACTGCTGAGAGTAGTTCCTTACCTTTGTTTGAGGATTTTAACTAATCTCAGGGTTTTGGTGTGCTTGAATTGTGATTGTGTTTTGCTCTGTGTGTGGCAGGAACCTTTGTCCTTAATAGGAGAACACACATAGACACAATACTGAAGTTTCAAGAACCATTAAGCTTTTTAAAGATGGTTACACACTGATTCACACCAGCCTGAATGACTGCTGCATTGTTTTTTAATAAGACTTAGAAGCCACTGATATAAGCAATGCAACAAATATATGTGTGAATAGAGGAAAAGAAATTTTATTAAGATTTGAATTTTTAAAAAAAAATCATGTTGTGTATAGTCTTGCTTTGCAGAAAGAAAAAATATATAGTTTGTTCACATTAAACCAAGCGGGGGAAAAACTGGTTGATACAGAATGTATATCAAATGTAAATATTACTCATGTAACCCACTGTAATTAATTAGATAAAAGGGCTGAAATCAGTTGACAAAGTCAGTCATTGACAACATTGACTATGGAAGACGATCATGTTCATATGATCCACACAGTCATTCTGACAGATTGTAATACACTACAGAAAATATTTGCAAAACTGAGAAGAAGCATCCTGCGGCCGTATAGTTGACATTCCGCTAGCATAGTGTATATGAGCAGTCAATACCGGCTATGACTTTTAAATCAAAAAGTCAGTTTGATCAGAGGTGCTGATCCGTACTAGATCAATAAGTTATATTGGAGTATGTGTTTTTCTGTGCGAGAACATGTGCAAACATCTTTAATTACCTTGTGAATAGTGCAGCAGCGGCCGCATCACAGGGGCTACAAGCATATAAATTGAGAGTCTATTTGTTCTTGGTTATTCTCGCTACCCAAAGATTTCTCCTTCATTGGCTGAGCTCTTCAGCCTGTTTTCCCCTCATGATGTCAGAGCACTAGGATGCTATAAAAGCTTTCACCATATAGTTTTTCGTTGCTGTTGTTATTACACCCGTGAACCACACAGCACACCATCGCTATATTTTATCAGGATGCTGTAGTGACTGTGTAGAAATGGTGGCCCTGTTGTCGTGTTGACCAGTGGTACGTCAACAATATGGCACCAACAAGACGTGTGAAGTAGAATGAATACTACTATAGGAAGCTACAACAGGTTTCTGTTGTTTTATTGCACTATAAGCAAGAAGAAGCTTGTTGCACAGATTTTGAGTGATTAGGGTAGAACAAAGAATGCTGACTGGTTAAATTGATTGAACAATTAAAATGTTAATTGCAGAAGTAATGATTATTCATAGCCCAAACATGGAATAAAGGGTAAAGCTGCTGAGTTCTTTTGGGGAAGGGAATGGTGGGGTCTCTGAGGTGTCCCTGATGAGGGACGTCAAGACATGGACCGTTTCTAAGTGTGTGTGTGTGTGTGAGAGAGAGAGGCTGTGAGACGAATGCCTGAGGCTTCAGACATCACAGATACAATGCTCCAATGTGTAAAAGAGATCTAGAGTGACTGTATGTGAGAGATGGTTGAAGAACACATTTAAGAGACTTGACTTTTACTAAAAAGTCCACAAAAGGATATTAAACAGACTCTACAAAAGTCCATTTCATCATAGAACTACATAAACCACATCACAGCTTTATTATTAAGAATAAAGCTAGCTTAGGTTTGTTTACTGAGCTACATCTGGGTCTGTTAGACTGTAATAATGATGACTCCACATTTGAAAGGGAAGCTGTTTCTTTCATTTAGCTGTTTTGAAGTGAAACGATTAAAGTGTGGCCACTCCTTGGAGGTGTGTTTCAAACCTCTCCGCTAAGCTTTGATAAATAAAATACCCTGATATTTATTGCATAGTAACTCTCTAAATACCTCTTTTTCTGTAATACTGACAATTTTTCCCCCTCATGTTAGTTGTTGCCTATTTTTTCAGTTACTAGTCTGGAGGATGGGTACTAACATATGCAAGCCCTTCATCTCTTGTCTGTATATTTTTGGATGGTGGAGCACTCTTAAGTCAGCACTGACACTGATGTGTGTAAAATCCTGCTGTTCATGCTATAGGGTGTGTTCTTTTAGGAT